CTAATATAATTATGAGGATAGGAAACGAACGACGGATAAATTAAAGAATGTATGAATAAAGAATTCATTATTTGAAAGATCATAAATCTAATTAATAGATACATATATAATGAGATATGAAACACTAACTTGGTAAGTTAAGAGACCCGATCGAATTAGCTTGAATTGCCCGTTCCTTAACAAGATGGAATAAATTATTCCAAGAAGATTCGATGCCTCCTGCCAACTAAAAATATAAGAAAAATTTAGGATGTAAAGCCATTAAGTTTTATATAATACTACTTTATTGGAGATTCGGGCATAAAATTGAGGAAAAAAAGATATAATAGATGAGAGACTCACTTTGCAGACGTTTAAACAAGCCAATGCAGCTGTCTCGTCGGGAAAAACAAATAGCAGTTCGACGCAAGCCAAAATATGCACGAATCGGTAACAGCAAAGGCGTCGTCGACTAATCTCCTCTTCAGTCAACCCGGATAGTGGCCGATTGAGAGATGTACCTGGGACAGAGTTTAAGGCTGAAGGAGCTGTTGATAGCATTGAGGTAGACGTTAGAGAGGAGGCTAGTGAGACCAAAGAGAGGCCATTAAGGGTGGTAATCGGGAAAGAGGAAGATGAAATCGATATAGCAGGGGATCCTGCGCCGATCTGGGTTAATCGAGATGGCGCACGGACACAGAGTGGTGGGGGCAAAATAAACTTAGAACCGCCAGAGAGCGAAGAACCCGAGGAGGATGAATAAGTAGAAGAGGTTATAGTTGTGGTGGTAGAGGAGAAAGGACTGGAGATTAATAACGGCCCACAGTTTATTGGCCAGTCTAGTGGGGCTCCAGCATTGTTACTAGCATCGCTATCAAAATTATGAATAGGACCACCAGAATAATCACCAAGTGGTAAAGCGCAGACATGCGATCCAGTACATATGGAGCATGCAGATCTCTGCATGGATCTTACTGAAGTCTCCGTCTGGCAGGGAGCTAGATGATTGGGTAGAATACCGGGTAGCGAGAAGGCAGAGGAAGAACTGACAGTGGAGGGCGATGGTAAAGGAGATGGAGAAGGTGCCGGAGAAGGCAAGGGGCACCAGGGAGGTAGGTCGGCAGGTAGGGTTATCTCTGGTAGCCAAATGAGTCCCGGAATAGGTAAAGCGATGCAAGCAGCTGATGGAGGTGGGGCAAAAGATAGAGGAGTAGTGCCGGGCTGAATAGAAGTTGGAAAATTGGTAGGGCGACCAAAATAGAGATTGCGGTTGGTGTTTACTAAGTTGTTCACAGATGGGTTTGCTTTAATAGAAATGGCGCTTGCTGAGGTACATGGGAGGTCGGGGGAAGAAATAGGACAGGGTGAAGAAGATGAAGATGAGAACGAAGCAATGGACGGAGGATGAAGAGTAGATGGAGGCTTGTTGTTGGAGTTTGGAATAGCTGAGGAAGAATCGAGGCCAGTGGAATTAGCTTCGTCAAAATGAGGAAGAGTTGGGCTTGGGGAGGCAGAGGACCTGATAGGCTGGAACAGGTGATGAGAAATGATATATGATGATGGAATAGGGAAAAACATGATGGTCGGATAAATGGTAAAAAAAGAAAAAACTAAAATCAATTCTCCCTCAGAAAAGTTGGCAAGCTATTTAACAACAAAATCCTTGGTTATAAAGTACACACATTCCATAGATATTTATCATGTACACGACTATAGTTAATGTTTGCATTTGAAAGGATTCATATGGCAAAGCGAAGTAGGGGC